ACACAATGTTCCCACTCCAGCCTTTGTCATTTTTTGTCTATGTGGAATAGATACTAAAAAATCTGGATTTATTTTATTTTATTTTATTTTATTTTATTTTATTTTATTTTATTTTATTTTATTTTATTTTATTTTATTTTATTTTATTTTATTTTATTTTATTTTATTTTATTTTATGCAAAGCATTTCTTTGCTTGGATGTTAACATTTAATTCTCAATATCACTTCTCCAAATTTAAACATATAATACTGATTTAAAGAGACTAGGCAAGATTTTTAAACCAATCTACCAAAAGTGGAGAATCCCAATGAAAATAAAATCCATAACATGAAAGTATAGGCTAGTTCAGATACTGGTTATCAAGGTGCCAGGACTATGATGCACCAAATCCCACAACTCTCTTGGAGTTCTTGCACTAGCCTAAGTAACGTGCTGAGAGAAGTTACAGCACCAGTAGCTTTCCCACTATATAAAACAGATGCATTTTCTACTACCTTGTTGTCTAAGGCATAGTGACTTCAGCATGGGCAAGAAGCCTATGCTTCACAGATCCTGTCTTAGCACTGATGATAAGTGTTCTTTGTATCTGCCTTGAAAAGCCCTTAACCTTTCACTCCCTTCTGTTCCTGCTAGACCATGGAGATAACAATGCAGACCTCTGAAGGCATGATGGGGATTGATTAGTCTGTGTGCCAAAAGAGGAAAAAGAAAAATTGCAATGAATTGTCAGCTGCTTGCATCATGACACTGACACAAAAGCAGGAGCCATGGCAGCCACAGTTATCAATGCTGCAGGAATGACATCAAATTTATATTTTAAAAATAAAAAAATAAAATCCAAAACTTTGCTGAAGAAAGTAGTTCTGAAATTCTGTAGAAATCCAGAAGCACTGAAAATAGGATGTGAAGTGTAGGAAAGAAATAGGTTTGTTTTCATGAAAGATGTAACAGTGACAGTAGACATTTGCTGGTATTTACAGATTAAGCATATTTCAATAAGCCAGGATGAAAAAAAAAAAAAAAAAAAGAGAGAGAGATTTTTGTATTGAAGAAATTTTTGGTCATGGCCACACAGCCAGTCATGTTGTAGATCAAAGGTTTTTGGATTCTTTCCTGCAGTCCTTGGGCTGCTTCTTGGTGGTCACTGACATGGGCTGACAAATTTGTTGATCTTTGCACCAAACTAACTCAGTATACATTCCTAGCAAATGGTCTACAGATCATAACAGAGCTTACATCTCCCAAGCTAGACCTCTTGAAAATGTCCAGTGAGATCACTGCTCACATGTGTAGTTCTAGTACTTCTGTATAGATCTCCAACCTGCAAAATCCCTATGTAACAATTCCATCAAGCTCACAGGTCCAGACCCATTTAGTACCCATAAGCCTTTCTTCTGGATACATGGGTGGTAAAAGATGATTAAGCTAAAATTCTCAGAATTTTTAGTTTATTTCATTTTATTTTTCAAAATCAAGCTTTATGTATCTCTTCAGAATACAAAACAAGCAGAGCAAAGAGAAAATAAGACAAGTCGTTTTTATACATTTTTTCTTATTAACATCAAATTATTTTCTATAAAGTCCATCTCTGGTGAGGGAGAAGTCTGCCTTGCTGCCAACTACATCCGTTGTTTGATGGTTCTTTTTCTCTCTCTGCTAGCACAGCTGTACTTCTGGATCCCAAACCAGAATCATAAAGCTGTAGAATGATTTGGTTTGAAAGGGACCTTAAAGATCATCTTGTTTTAATTCCCTTTCCAAGCCAGAGACACCTTCCACTGAGTTAGGATGTTCAAAGCCCCATACAGCCAATTATGGGGTATTCACAGGTTCTCTGGGCAACCTGTGCCAGTACCTCACCACACTCATAGTAAAGAATTTTGTCTTAATCTAAATCTACCCTCTTTTAGTTTAAAACAATTATTCCTTGTTCAATCACTACATTCCCTTGTAAAGAGCTTTCCTGTAGGCCCCCTTTAGGCACTGGAAGGCCACTATAAAGTCTACCCGGATCCTTCTCCACCTGAAAAAGCCCAACTCTCTCAGCCTGTCTTCGTAGGAGAGGTGCTCCAGCCCTCTGATCATCCTCGTAGCCCTCCTCTGGACTCACTCCAACTGGTCTATGTCCAGGCCCCAGAGCTAAACACAGTGCTCCAGGTGTGGTCTCACAAGAATGGAGGAGAGGGAGAGAATCACCCCTCAACCTGCTGGTCACACAACTTCACCTACCTTTGAAAGAGAGCTCAGATCCTGCTAGTTGCATGGCATTAGCAGACACATTTCTGTGCAGGTCCAGCATGTGAGAACATACACAGCTGCATGGCTCCTGCAGAGCACACTGTGAGTACTTTAAAACTAGCTCATGTCATAGCTAGCTAAACACCAGTTGCATCCAAACTTCTGAGTGCAGTGGAGAAATATCATCAAAGCAGTTCTCACACACATACACCCCACACATTGCAGAGAACAGACTCCCATTTCACTTCACTGTTTGGGCCAGTACTTTGCTTTCAGGGTCATAACTGAGATATAAAAGTCTTAAAATCTTGACTTGAGTACAACAGCTTTATTCCCTCATGCCTACCATGCGTCTTCTCTCTGTCCTTATTTGGCTTTCTTTCTCTGCAGTAGCCTTTGACTTAAACTTCTCGCAGTTAGATTGTTTGCCAAACAAACTAACATGAATGTGATATTTACAAAAATTTACACATACTACTTCTTTGTCCACAGTGCATGAGTATTTTTGTTTCACTAACATCAAGAAATAGTAATTTCAAGAACAGTTTTTAAAGATTGCACAGGATTTTCTACAGAAACCAATGTAATAAGTGAGAGTTTAAACCAGAGTGATGCAGAACTGCAGAGCAGCCTGAGCACAGCTGCATTAGCACACAGATCCTCTCTTTCCAGTCTCATTAATATTTCAGGTCATTCCACAGTGAACACTTATTCTTATGAGGCACAGCAATGTGCCAGAGACTGCTTTGTGGACTGGAATAGTACTATTTCCATTCAAAGTCTGGTCCAGTTTCTCCAGGGAAAGTAAAAGTGAATATCACGAAATCGAGCTGCCAGCATGTCTTCAGAAAACTTCTGCTGGACTTTGAGAGAGCTAAGGAAAAATCCTCTACTGTGGTATGGGAACTGGTGTGAATTTCCTCTTTTTGCCGTAGTGAATTTAGCTACATCCACAGATAGATTGACTTAAAGTGACTGCCCAGCAGTATTAAATTCCCCTTAACAGACTGACTTATCCCAGTGGTTTACAAAAATATCTCCTTGGAATGCTTCCAAACATACCAGAGATGCTGGCAAGCTCAGTCCCCAGAATAGTCCTCAGCAAGCGACTTCCAAGCTCCACACAAGAATCAAATTGCCTCACTTGAACACCGGTCTACTTTCTTTTTTCAGTTGAAGACATTACCTCCCTCTCTCAGTGTAATTATAAAGAAAAGTTGTCTTCTTTTAAAATAAAATCAAATTTGTAGTGTCTTCAAACAAACAGACCCTGATAAAGAAGAGAAATCCTAGACCAGAGGTAGAAATGCTGTTAATGCAGCTTCATAAATATTGACAACAAGTTGCTTTAGGCAGTATTGATGCAACAACAGCAACATTTTTTGTATGTCACCCTGTCATTACCTTTGGTTAATAGTCTGGAAATTCGTGTTAGCTTTGATCGAGGTGCCCTTGTACAGGTCAAGAAGTAGCAAAAGCCAGTAGTACCTCATGACTTTTGGAAAATACTGTCCCTTCTGCCTATTCTGTCTCAAAGGTTACTGCCCCCGTGACACAGAGAAGCAGAGCTGTGCTTGTATGCCAGCAGTAACAGGTTGTAGCCCTGTTCCTTTATTTCTCATCATGGAGCTGAGCTGGGAGCTCTCACTGCCTTCCTGTGAACTGTGATAGCCACAGTGATGAGCCACCCTCCGTCCCACTGCCTCTTCCACAAATAGCTACAACCTTTAACCGATGGACAGGACAAGCAGCAAAAGGAAATAAATAGCTCCAAGTGCCACAGTGAGAGTCAGGGCCTCAGCACGGGTGAGTCAGCACAGCCCCAGCTGTACCAGCTACGGGGCTGGCTTTGCTCCTCCATTTACAGGCTGCAAGCCAAAGCACAAAGGGAATACTTCCCAACTGCCTGTCATTGTTATACTGAGTGCAGAATAGCTGGATCTAAGGCTTTTTCTTAAAACAGGCAGCATGCTGTCTCCCTTTCCCATTCCATGAGACATTTCACAAACCAGGTAGCACCAGGACTGTTTTCACGGTTCTTGTGTGTTCAGGAGTGTGGCCTTTACTTCCTGGCAGTACATCTGATGTTATTTCCACTATGGTATTTCAGTACTGCTAAACTGTGCTTGCAAACATCCACTTAGACTGTAAGTCATTCTACTGAATTTAATGCCATCTTTTAAATGTTTCTTTCCCTCAATTGATCATGCAGATACGTTTTTATTTACATTAACTCCTAGGAATACTTTTTCATTGTACAAGCACTTTCAGAGATACTTCTCTATGAAGGGGGTGATGGTTTTTCATTGATTCTTACTGCTGATATTTAAGTCATCCAATTAGGAAACAGGAACAATGCAATGTGACCTGCACACCAAATAAACAGACTGACTGAATGCTTGAAATACACAGTCTGAAATTCATGCAAGACTGAGATTTGTTTGCATAAGCTGTTGTAAGAACAATGTAAAAACTTATCTTAGCAGAAATCAGTTTTGGCAAAAAAAGACAAAGTTAGGCCAAAGCTATTACATATTTTGTTCACAACAAAGATTACAGTCAGTGATTTGTTAGTATTAAGTAGCTTAATCACTGTTTAATGCTAAGAAAGAGCATTAAACCTCAGAAAAAAAATTGAGGCATTTTTTCTCCTGAAATTTTCTAGAGCCTTCATACTTATCTTACAGAACAGGAAATTTACTCACTTGTCCTTAGATCATGGGATTAAAAAATGAGACTTGTGGGGCTTGAGAAATTTATTTACTATGTACAGATCATAAAAAGACATTCTTACCACATTTATAAGGCGCTTTCCTCCACAGAATCTGGTTAATGATAAAAAGCATATCCCAGAAACAAACAAACAAACAAAACCAAACATTTGCTGTAGTGTTTCTTATCAAATTATAAGAGATCACATGTACTATATATTGTTCCAATGCATTTTGAAGCACCATTCTGCTAATACAACCTGTCTCTTTTTCCTATGGGAAAATTCACTAAACTACTGTAAAAAAATTTACTTGATTTTATATTTTAAAAAAAGTGTCCATATGTGCATATTGTAACTCCTACAATATTTGATAAAATGTAAAGCATAACCAAAATAAGATACATTCGTGATTTTTTTTTTTTTTTTTTTTTTTTTTTATCAGTGCGCTAAATAAGCCTTAACAATTCTCAGTCTCTAAGCAAGAGCATAATCAAACTGGCCTTTCTCCACTCCATCAAGTCCATCAGCCCAGGTTGAGGTTGGCATACTCCGGTAGGGGTCAAGGAGAATTCGGAAGCAGCGAACAATGAGGATTCCCAAGAAAATAAATAATAAAATCACAAAGGCAAAGGTTGTTTTCTGTTCCAGGGTCATGCTAGAATCTGGTGTCATGTTCCCAGATGGCACCAAAGTGGCACTGAATATCTCTCCATCCATCATCCAGGGAAGCTGAAACGAATAATCCCACAGTCTCCTTCTTTTCATCGTTAGTTTGCTGAGGTCAGAGTAGAAGCCATTTAGATGCACTTTGTTATCTGTAGGGCAAGGGGGAAGCAACATTAATTGTGAATAGCCCTTTTGTTTAGTTCCATGCAACTTTGTCCTCATGGAGAAAAATGAGATGGAAAGGGACTTGACAGCAGTTCTGCCTGCCTCTGTGCCACATATGAGAGACATGTCAGAAATTCCATACTACTCTGCTGGCATTGCAGAATCCAGTCAGTGATATTGCATGTCACCAGACCCTGAGCTGGCAGGAACCTCTCCCTCCTACCATACCACTTGGACTGGGGTAGAACATTTCTTTCCCTAGAAGTGAATGAAGGTTTAATCACAGTGTTCCAGTGGGTAGCCTACAGAAAAAGCAATTCGGAAACAAATTGCATTCCTTGCTGCAGGATGGACAAACTGCGATTGATACTACTGTATGCGGAGGGGCTTGAAAGATAAGTGTATTTAAGGCTTTATACACAGACCAGAAATATTCTGAGGTGGGACAGACCAGGATCTGATGCAGGACAGTAAAATGAATGTGTCTCCAAAGTGGAAGGCCCAGTGTTTGTGACATCACAGCAATTATAAGGAAAGGGCATAAATAGTGTTTGAAATGAGAGGAAAACATTTAGGAAGGCAGTCTAAAACAAGTCAAATACCAATGCAGCTCAAGGGCAAATGTTTCTTCTTCTTACTTAAAATCAGAATGAGGATTACAAGTACAGTTAACAAGAAAATGTTTTTTATATCACCTGCTCTGTGGTAGCAAGAGAACCACCAAGATTTGTGGCTGAGCTTGGCTGTTTCTGGACAGCAGAGCACACACTGTGCTACTGCTGGCCTGGCACTTCTGCTGCTGTGTCCGTCTGTCTGGGTGTCTGCCAGCTGCTACTGCCTCCTCCCTCACATACTGGGTTTTCCTTCCAGTAGGAAGGAAGCACGGCTGGATGCTGTGCTTAGGCCTGGTCATTGACACCACCTGAGAAATGACCTCAGGAAAGGAAGTGTTGAAGGTCGAAGGGCAGCACTGTCTCAACTGAACGTGTTCAGAAGAAATAGGAAAAGAAGATTACAGTGCAGTGTGTGGCTTGCACAAGTGGAACTTGCAAGTGATTGTAGCTACTACTCTGTAACTGGACTCAGGTCAATAACTGCTTATAAGCATACCTCAGCAAAACCAGTTAACAGGTATAAGTGGATTCAGAAAGTACAGTCACAATATTATTTTGATAGTATTATTCTAAAAAAAATGCCTCAAACAGAATAGAGAAAGTTTTAAAGCAACAAAAATATTGAAATTGCACAGCTATTGTTGCTTGATTCAATTTACGATTGAAAGGGTAGGAAGATTTGAAATGTTAACTTCTCATTATTTAAAAGCACGTTTCATCTACTACCTGATAAAAACTGCAGAGAACTGTCTAACATTGAGCTAAAACTTAAGGAACACCCAGTCTTAGAAAGATTTTTTTTTTTTTTTCCTTGCCTTGCCTTGCCTTGCCTTGCCTTGCCTTGCCTTGCCTTGCCTTGCCTTGCCTTCTTTTGTTTTTGTTTTGTTTTTGTTTTTATGATACCTTGTGGAGCAAAGAACTCTGGTGATAAACAACCTTGTTATAAAAGAAGAAATATATAAATTGAGACGGGCATGTAACATGGTGGTAGAGATACTACAGTGAAGGTAAAAAGCAGTGGTGCCCCCTTCTTAAAGATCTCTGGTAGTTTGACTACAGAAAACTAACACTCACACATTATGTCATTGATTTCCATGTCATTTAACCACACACTGTCAGCTATATGCATATTATACACACTTAACACTCTACCCTAAACCTGCAATCACGAGATGCAGTATTCCATACTTGCTCTCACAGATCTGAGTGTTTTAGGAAATGCTTTCCTGACATTTTTCTATGCATTGTGTCAATGCTGCAGTTGACTGTGGGAGAAAACAACTGTCAGGGAAGATCAGCTTTTGACATGCTGGTTTTAAATGTCAAACTTGGAATACACATAGAGCCAGCACACAGTATCTTTCCAGTTTTCGAAGAAACTTGACTTCAGAGAGATATGTGCAATCAGCAACTCAGTGATAATCAAATGCAGTTAATTATTTTACTTTAGTCTCTGAATAGGCACCTATTCTGGATAATACAGAGACAAACAAGATGCTCATTTTCATACCATTAAGAGCTACTCATTGATTCTAGGAATGAGGGGATGTCTGATAGTTTTACACTTAGCAGCTTTTCACACTCTGAATGCTAATCTTTATGCTATAGATTATATGTGGGAAAATAACAAGACTGCATTGCAAAGCTGAAAGAAATGTATTTCCTAAGCTTTGGGCTCCAGACAGCCTTCTGAGTATGCTCATCACTGTATATGATTATAAGGTGGTGGGGACAGGCAGTCTGTCTCCAGAGAAAGGCACAGTACCCAGCATAATCACACCCTTTGCCCTATTTGGAGCACTTCTGCAAGCCAGAACTTTAGTGATATCATCAACTGCTTCCTATGCATCAAAATGATGTTTAACTGTCTCTACACAGGTACTTGAAAGCAGTACACAGGTACTTGAAAGCAGAAGTTAACCAGCTATTGACATTAACTGGGTGAAAGTTCTAGGCACAACTAATTAGTTAGATTTGGAATGGGCAGCAGCTGGTGGATGGTGCAAGGGAGACCCCGAGCCTTCAGTGTTCTTCCCTGCCAGTCACTTTTGATTGTGTCAGGAGAGCTCCACTGAAGTTGGGCACCAGAAACTTCTTCCAACAGAAAACGTTGCCTATGTAGGAGACCACATAGAAATGGTAACATAACTTTAAAGTGTATTTTCTTGTATAAGGACCTCTGCAGTCCTTGTAAAAATTCCTCCAGCCTGCCTGAACTCCATCACACCTCTGTGTTACAAATTGAAGGCTGACAGGGGAGACAGGAGCTTTCTTTTCAGCTTGTTCCAGTCACTCAGAAATGATCCAGGTTATGTTATGGGTGGAAAAGCCTCAAGGTTGTTTAAAAGTAATTGATATAACCAACATTCCAAGAATTCTTTATATTATTTATTTTTTATTTCTTTACGTCTCAGATAAACTTAAAATTGTTAGAAAAAAAAATAGATTATCCTTCACTTAAAAAAAAAAAAAAAAAAAAAAAAAGCCCTGCCTTTTTGGTTTTGTTTTAATGCAGGGTTGCCCTATTCAATTACTTTCTATAATGGGTTCCTTGCAGATGTGTCTAATCCTCTGTTTAATAAGTACACAATTGTGCATCACTCTATCCACATCAGGTTGTTATTATAATTTCTCCTTGCTCTCCTTGCCAGTGTGCACACATCCATCAGGTACTTCAATTATAGATCTCCCCGAGGTGATGCTTACATTCTAAGGTACTAAATTTATAAAGTAATAAAGAAACAGAACTGAACTTGCATATTATTAGCAGCAATGAATCAACATGTTAGTCCTTGAGACATCCCAAGACTTAATATCCCTCATATAGTTTCAACCCAGAAGCTGACCTATTAGCACAAGATCTGGTCAAATGTCACCAAAAGACAACTTATCTTGTCAAGCCACTAAGATTTTTGAAATTAAAATGACATTGAATTAGTTAATAGAGCTAGCTACACATTGGTATGAAAGACACAAATTCACAGGACTCTTTAGAGTTAAAACTTGTCCACAGTACCTTTGACTGGTCTTTCAGGGCTTTCTGCATTTCACTTGTTTCAAAGTTGACTTTAGTTGAAAATTGCTCTATAGTTAAAGGATTTCCTCAGGGCTCATATTTTAAAGCTTCTTACTTTGAAAACAGTAGGACTAATGGAAAGATAGGCTACAAGATCTGCAGCTGTAGAAACTTACAATTTGGTGTTGTTCTGTTTAAACTACCCTTTCTTTACCACCACATACAACATAAATGATGTTTTGTGTCAACATTCATATATGTATATTTCTTTTCATGTATGTTTTTGAAAAGTCACAACCAAAGAGACGGTAGTAAATCACATTCTCATTTTGCGGAGTAGAATCTCACTTCTACCCTTTTTCCTAATTTCTGTATCCTACCTGTTCATAAACTCTCCAGTAATCCTATTTGTGTGGCTGGAGTATGGCACAAATACTCTGAGAGACAAGAGAGGCTGTGGAGCTGACCATCAGTTGCCAAAAGTTGTCCCAGCGTAGCCTGAGGTGCATTCAGATTAGCATTACTGGCCCTTCATCTTTCAAAAGAAATGCAGAAATGGTAACTCAAAAATCTACATGTATTGAAGACATCCAGTCTAAAATGTGACACGCACAATCTATGTGTACATGGATTTAAAGCAGGTATTTTAATTTTTAGAAAAACAACAACAACAAACATTAAAGATGAAACATCATTTAGTGTGGTGGCATCTGTTTATTTCTATTTCTTGGCAGATCATTCATTGCTCTGTTCTGTCTATATCACATAAAACAAAAAGAGAGGCCTTTGAAACAAGCTAATTGAAAAGAAGAATCTGACCAGCAAAAACAACTCATGGGGACACATGGTTTAATATGTTTGACCTGTTAACAAGACCCGAGGCCAAGCATACTGCTACAGTTCTGCTGACTTCATTACCATCTTGTCTAGTTACACTTTTGGCCCTGTAAGTGATAAAGGCCCTTTAAGTGATAAAAATTGCAATTAAGCAATGAACACATCAAGACTAAGACAAAACAGCATATTCTTTGCTTTAAACATCTGGAGTATTCCCTTTGTCCTTTTCTTGTTAATTCGAGATTTACTGGACTAATGTGTAAGGGCAGATTGTGGTCCTGTGACTGGGTGCTTCACAATGTATGCCTGATATGTAGGTATCCTATGTTAGTGGAGCAATTGGGTTTCCATTATGAAATATCCCATGGAATGTAGCAAGCACACAACTGTGCCAAGCCCATGTGCATGATTTTCCTATACCACCCATACTAGTTTCACTGATTACTCACTTCCTTAGCTACAAAAACACATGGCAAGTTTCTTCAGGCTCAAACATCTGTACACAAACTATTTGAGTGGAGATATTTCCATGTGCCCACAGCTCAGTTGCTGTGACAGACATTTTAAACCTGTTGTAAATAAACTAAACTTGATTACAGAAAAGAACAAAGCTAAAAAATTAAATAACAT